CGATAACGGCTGGGTCGATTGAGCTGATTTTGTTTTAAAGTGTTTGTTGTAGTCCAGGGTAGGTAGCTTATTTACTGCCTTTAAGGCGGAACAGAGTTCGCCGGGTCAGCTAGTCAGTACCTAATAGAATCCATCGCAATATTTTTTATATTTTTTTTGTTTTTTTTTTTTATGTGACAGGAGGCAAACGAGCATCTGATTATATCAATACACTTATACCAATAGATATACTTCTAACATCCCTTTTTAATAAAATAAATTTCCATACTACCTAGACCCATTTTGGCCATTTTTGTCTGTTTTTTTTAGCATTTATCTCAATTATTTTATTAGAAACCTTGCAAAATGTTATGTTCAGATAAAACCTAGTTAAATCTAGTTTCTGGAAAATGTAAATTTTGTTTAAACTATCAGTTCTAAACATGCAGAAATCCATGTCTTGTAACTACCGATTTGTAAGCAAAAAAACAGACCCCTTTTTGTTAATAAATCTCTCATTTTGTTTTGATTACACATGAACCACTTATATCCTCGTCGTTACTGTAAACATCTGTTTCATCACTTTATAGCTTTGGTCCTAATAAATAAATATTTTTTTGTCGAGCTCAGTTTTTATGGTACTCTAGAGTACTGAGTTTTTCTATGAAAGTTTCAAACATGTTTTGTTGAAGAAATTTGTATGAAGAGGGTTGGTTTTTTTGTATCAAATCTGTTAAAATGTGTGTTGGGATTAAATGAAATACCTAATACAGTCAAATATTCGTTATTATTTCTATAATTCTTAAAACTAAGTTTAAATCGTTGCAATTATTTGGTGTAGTATACAAGCTTTATTATAACATTTCTGTCGGAAAAACTTATTAAATTAGGTCAAGAAACTAATACAGAGTATTCTGTAAAAATATCATGGCTTAGATCCTAATATAACCGAAGATAATTGAGTTTTTATGAACAAAGGCGTAAGAAACCCCTGTCTGTGGCATGGAGCATTTGATCCACACATGCATGGCGGACCAGCTCGGAGGGTCCCTACTAAAGTGAGTATTAGAGAACGAGACATAACTCTACATTATTTCAACCGTAGATAAAGGCTGAATTTCAATATTTAGACCTAGGATTTAAAGGTTTCTGCCAACTCATGCATTATATCGAGCCATACATAATAAGCCTCCGTGTCAGGTGAGGAGCTGGATGAGGATCTTAAGGTGTATTTATATCTGCCTGACATGTCATGTCGTGACGCATCAGAACTGAATCGGTTTCATACACATTTCAGAAGCCACCACGACACAACACTTCTAGTTTAAACATTTCCATTCTGCTACCGTTATGATGCGTCACGACACAACTCGCCAGACATATATAAATCCACCTTTAGACTGTCTGTACCCTCACCAAGCAACCTCGATCAATGCTCATGCACATGCGCTCAGCGTGTTAACTCTTTAAAGCGCTTTGTCGAAAATACTGTCACCATAATTTGAAACTTATCCGCTTAATATAAGGTCGAAAAGCTATAAATGTTTAAACATGCTGTGCTCTATAGACGGTTAACACCTACGCATGCGTAGCGTCTTCAGGCTGAAGAAGTTTCTAGCATCAAAAATGGCAGGCTGTATTTAAAACAAAGTAAACAATTTCAAAATTCAGATTTTAGAATTTTCGCAGAAATCCATACTTAGGTATGGGAATGTATTTTAATACCTGAAAGCCCATTTTAAAAAAAAGTGGGTTATTCAGGGCCTGAAGACAAAGTACGCGTAACTTTCATGAAAGATTTTAGATTTCTTAAGAAAGTTTAGAGTCTACACTTTACAGTCATCGTAGAAGATCTCATTCTCATTGCCAATCTATACTAATATTATAAAGAGGAAAGATGTGTACCTATTTTTGTATGTTTGTAATGGATAGGCTCAAAAACCACTGAAAGGATTTTGATGAAACTTTACAGTATTATTGTTCATAATCCAGAATAACATATAGGCTATAATTTATGACGATCTGTGACAAACAAAATTTCACGCGTGCGAAGCCGCGGGCGGAAAGCTAGTATAGAATATTGTCATGAATTATGTATGTTATAGATGCAACAGAAATACACAATTTGTAAAAAATGTAACTTCATGGGATACTGAAACCTAGCCTAGGTGGTACACCCAGCCACCTGGATCAATAGTTACATGCATGCGCACACTAATTTATGTGTGGCAGAAAGCGCAACAAAGAAATTTAGCTTTTTCTAAATCTATTAATGTATATTAATAGATAAATATTTACAAAAAAAGGAAAACAAAGAAATAGAAAGTTACAATGGTATCGGTATCTTAAAAAGTGTCCCCAGATCCGTCAATTTTCTAAATATTAATTTTAAAAAAATGTATTACCTATCTCTTAATTTTAATCAGAAAATGGAAGAAAATAGTCACTTACTTCATATGGGAAAAAACAATAATAACAACCTTTTGTATAAAACCTTTGTCTAGCAACCTAAAGCTATGAGTTCCATCTTCACAGGTGTGGCCTTACTACAAGTAGTAGCCGACCCTGTGATCTGACTCTATCGAACGAATTCACAAACGATGCTTGCTTAAGTGAAGCAGCAAATCGAACACACAGCTTTGAATAGAGCTCTGTGATTGGATCATTTATCACCCTGTGCATCCACGCGCACTGTGAGGCCTCATAGTAATGGTTATGAATACGGGCGTATGTTTTTTCAAGGACAATACATTAATTATGTATTTTTACGGAACAGAAATCAAGATAAGGTGGTCTTTGTAGGGCTTAGTAGAGAAAATTACTTTTTTAAGCCTCCTGGTTTCTTCATCCAGCTATTTATTTTAACTAATTAGATGGCCGTAACAATAGAATTATGCACTTACTTGAGCTTGAAAAATATCACTGAAATTCAAGATCATAATAATGAATAGGGAATAAATTTACGATTGCTCTAAATCTAGTTTAAGTCGAAATTAAAACAGTTATTCCGGGGATAACATTTGTTATCTATTGTTCGGATTATTTATAAAGATTTAAAAGATATTTCTTAATCCCAAACGCGGAGTGCGGCTGCAGCTTTAAACGATTATTAAAAATCATCATCCAAGCGTACAATTACATTTTCAAAGGATCCTTTATATTTTGCAATCTCCAGTACAATTATTCACCCAGTACTTCATAGAGCCCTTACAAAATGTAATAACCATTGTAACACACTGATATTATGTCCGAGATAATCCTTGTTCAATGACGTATTTAAAAAGACCCTTTATTATAACCAGTATTGAAAGAGACACTTAGAATGCCGTTAAGGCTAACTGACATAAAAATAGGGTCTGAATTCTAGACCAGACTTCAAAAGATGCAGGTATTATAAGTGTTTCCAAATTATTCTCATGGGAACAGATGGTCAAAGGCCAGCTGCAGTGTACCAGCGGTCAACATTTTACGTAGACTTGCGCATTGACACAATACTTAATAGTTTCAAAAAATGTTTTATTTTAATATTCAAAAACATTTACAGTTATTTTATAATTAATCTATAGTGAAATAAAAAAAATCAAAACTATATACAAAAGTAATATTTACAGAAAATAAAAGTAAAATAAATGAAAAAAAATTTGAAACTAAAGAGCCAGGGCAACTTTGCACGGGCGCTATATGAGCGATTTTGTTTTAAAGATAAAAGAAAATTGCTTGTATAATTATGTTATGATTTTACACCTGTTCTAAAAATAAACAACCCTTTTATTCAGTCAGACAATTACACTAAACATCACTTTAAACTCTGCCCTTATTTTATTATTTAGAAATTTAGAGTTGGATTGGCTCTGAGAGACAAACTTAGGCTACCTTTTGTTGGAAAAATCACACATCAAACTCATAATTTCATATTTTGGAGATACAAAAACTAAGTCATAGTAGAGTCAGTAATAAAATACATAATATCCAAATAATTATAAGTCAATTATGTATAGATTGTAGCACACTTTACTAATAAGTTACTACTCGAAGCGCTGGTAGGGCCCAAAAGATAAGGAGACATGTAAAGTGCCCCATAAGGGCTACCTTTTCTTTTTTACTAAATTTTGACGTTCATAAGTGCCACTTGTGGTCTAAACTGAATAAATATTTTTGATTTTGATTTTTGATCTTGTAGTCACTTATTTATGACGTCGTCGAAATCAAATACATACCAGTCTTGCATGTTTTATATGATGTCATATATCATTGGAAAGAAGAGAAGCTAGAGATGCTTAGCACATTGGCAATTCATTATCACCATTCATTTTTTTTTTCAAACGAATTCTAAGTTGATTTTTTTATCGTGGTTTGTACTTTTGTTAAACTTTGACAGCTCGTAATTAGCTATCCAATCATTATCTGGATCTGAAATTATTTTATTTGATTTAAGACCTATTCGATATTAATATCAAATAAAAAAATAAAAAGCATAAAAATTGAAGCAGTTTTCATGTCAAACGGAAAAAAATATTATAAAAACAAAAATATCAATCAAAAGAACAGTAGCTCACTTAGGATCAAATGGGCGAACTTGTATTCTTAAAATGACCTTATCTATACACCCACGAAGTTGTCTAACCTTCCGCCAAACACCCTGTATAGTATTATTGAAAACAAATGACTTTAGATATCGTCGCCGTACAAGTAGCGTTATTTGTTCTAAGGATTTTTGTACATACGATAGTCTAACAAATCTAATAAGTGAAAAATCTCCAGATTTATTATGTCTATTTTTTCTTCAGTAATTTCCGCCATGTTATCTGACTCTCCGACGAGTATATTCAATCTTTTGTCCCTTTCCAAGGATTTTGGGTCCCTCGTGCAACCACCCTAAAAATCAATACAGTTGTCTGGGCAAGGTACTTCCCTCATAAAGCCCTCGCTAATCATCTCGTCCCTTTGTTCCCAAAAGTTTGGGGGTCGGCCAGGGTATATAAGGGCCGGAGAGGGGACGACGCGCACAGTTACTAACTGACTCTATATACGTGAGCACGTTCAAAGTAACAGCAAAATATTAAACAAAATGTCTCCATTAAATTAAAATTTTGAAGTCAGTGACAGTAATTCCTGCCGAAAAAGAAGAATAAAGAAACATTGCAGTATATGACCTTGGTAAGTATTTTTTAATTTATTTTATTTTTGTGAATTATTTTTTGTCATCATTACCTGTTTTCATATTTGAAAAATCATAAATTATTAGCTCCTTAAATTTATTTTTTCTTGTAAAAATCTGTATTCTATGCAACTCGAATTGCGTCACCATTGCACCACTGAAGTCAAGGTATCGATTTTCAAAATGGCGCGCCTTTGTCTCTTTAGGCAGTATGGGCGAATTATTCATACAAAAGTGATACTGAAGTTGTGCAAAGCTAATTAATGCCTAATAATTATTATTGCATCGAATTAGCTGTGGTTTTGAAGCATAAGCGAAATTTTCAATTAAATACTGCATTGCCACCTACCCACGCTTAGAACCGCCCGCCCACGCCCGCCCTGCTAGGTGGCGCTTTAAGGCGTGTACATATATCGATCGGGCCAGCAACGCTCCCTTATTCTAGCACTTGTATGACTTTAGCGAAATAATTTTACTTTGACTGATTGTTTTGTGCAACGAAGCTAATGCACTGTTAAGTTACTAGTATGATTATGCGATCATCTTTAAGCAATTATCTTATTTTTTTATTAAAAGCATCGGAAGCGCGAGTCTTAAAAAATAATTTTGCGAAAACAGGTCATGATTTGTGAATAAAGATGTATTTTTTAAAAGTTTATTGTGCGAAACAATAATTATTTATTTTTTAAGATTTAGGTTCAAATCTTTTATTTTAATTATTACTCTATAAAATTAAGTTAACCCCAAACTTAAACCCTAAATATAATTTTAAGAATACTTGAAATATTTAAAGTTTGGATTTATCTCAGTTTGCTTCTTTACTCTGTGCGTCCAAATTATAAAGTCTTTCCTTAATAATTCACTGTAATACTCTTAAAGAATTAGTCAAGTTTACGCAAACTTTGTTCGGAATTTTTCGGAGAAACCCTTCAATTTAAAGCTTTCGAAGTGAGACAACTCAGAAATTTTATAAAACAACATCTAGAAAATAACATAATATCAAAACACAAAACTTTTATAAAATTTTACTTTTTTTGTAACAAAACACAAAACTACAAGATCGTTCGACAGTTTCCAAGCAATAAAACATAAACTAACAAAACCCATTGTGAAAATTCTATCATTATGTCTTGTTCTACAAATGCTAACAATTCTTCCCCATTTCAGCGTACGAAGGGGGAGTAGAGTTGTCTGCGCCCGCGTCGATTTCGTCTCCATGAAACGGATAGAAAGGGACTGAGCGAGTACCTCTTCATGGGAAATTGCTACCTCGATGTTTGCTACTGCTAACAGTAAGTAATATTGTGCAGATTTAATTAATATTTAATTTTCAAATGTTTGTAAATTTTTTTATACCTATAGAGGGCTATCGTTTTAGCGCTCACCAGTTAGCGCCACTGTAGAGTAAGGTCCTGTCACTTGCTAGTAGCGAAGACAGTGGCACCAACTGGTGAGCGCGAAAGTGGTAGGAGGACTATCGCATTTGCATTCATCAAGATGGCGCCACTGTAGAGTAAGGTCCTGTCAATCGCCAGGGGTGCCAACTGTTAAGTATAAAAACGATAGCCCTCATTGTATAAACAGTATATTTGCATACTTAATGTGATAGGCAATAAGGTGAAACATTTACCTACTTCTTCAAACTACTGTATATACTATCTGTATGACCCATATTGAGCTGAGCACATAAGGATTTTTAATGATTTGATTTTTAGAAAGAAGAAGATAGAAAATTATTTCATTTCGCAATGAAAAACATAGTTAAAAAAATAAGAAAACGAAACGATAAAAGTTATAAAAAGGTCCCCAACCCAATATATATAAACCCAATAGGTACTAGGTATCTGGGGGCACGGCAGTGCCCCCACCAAGTCGAGCAAAAAAGCGGCACGGCCGTACCATCCTTTTCTCGAAGCAATTCAGGCCATTTTCGACCGCCTGTAACTTCGTTGTGGATAAAACTAGAAGGCTGAATTTTCATTAGCTATGCAGGCATTGTAAAGACACGGTATATTTAAAATTTTATTCAATTTGAACCAGTAGTTTAAGAATTATAACGGGTCAAAGTTACTTAATTTTGTCACTCACTGACTCACTGACTGACTCACCGATCATCAAAATTCTAAGGCACTTCTAGCAGACCTAGAAGCTTCAAATTTGGAATATAAGTAGTGTTTGGTGTATGAATCAAGGAAAAACTAAAATATTTGGGGGCACGGTAGTGCAACCGCCAAGTCGAGTAAAATTTTTCAATTTCGGTCCAGTTTTCTAGATACATAACTGCTGTCTACAAAATACAAAAAGTGGACAGTTCGTCTAAGATATAAGCAATAGAATTTGACTCCAAAAAGGCCTGCCACAGGCTCGAAACTGACGGCAGGTCACCGATAAGCACGCTTTCAATTTGCTCGTACACATCTCGATGGGAAGTCGAGCAAGCCACCCCCATAAGCCACTGTTTCAGCGAACCAGCACTGCACAAATCGCTCCCCTGTCACAGGTCTTCGACCTTCTTGGCCGGTTCGGGCGTCGAGCTTGTGCTCATGGCCCGTGCAGCATCTCGACTGGCTACTGCCAGTCGGTGGTTTGACGTCGCTTGGCGACGGACTGCCTGGGCTTTTACCTGGCACCACTGTCCCGCCCTCGGCGCGGTACCAGCCCACCGGGTGAGTCGACGTTGGTCGAGGCCCAGTGAACGACCAGCGAGCGGGCGGTTCCTGGATGCCAGGGAGCTTTCAGGCAGGGGAGCTTTCAGGCATCACTTAATCGCTCCCCAGGCTGCCTATAGACCCGACCTCTTCAACTGCTGCACTGCAAACACAGTCTGCATTCATCGGAGAACAAAACCCGCCTCCATTACTCGCCTACCCATCAAAATAAGTGCGAGTTAATTGAAAGCGTGCTTGTCGGTGACCTGCCGTCAGTTTCGAGCCTGTGGCAGGCCTTTTTGGAGTCAAATTCTATTGCTTATATCTTAGACGATCTGTCCACACGCTAACAGCTATCCTACGAACATTTCTGAGCTCTTGCTGAACGTCGATACCACTCAAATGATGATTTCATAGAGAGGTTGACATGAAAAAACGGTCATCCCTCTGCGATATGCACCGGCGCTGTTCAGAACTTGGTCTCGGGATAAAGCCACCAGTCTCCCGAAAGCGTCTTAAAACTTTCGAAACCCAGGACTGGCTTATGTGGAACTGACGTGCGACAGCCTGCTGGCTGAGCCCTTTTTGCAATAGTGCAACGATTTGTGCTGCTTCTGTAGGTGTAGAATCGCAGGTAAAGTGTCAAAAAAAGCGGAGATGTGTATGGATCAATGTGTGAAAGCAAAAATCCGAAAACACGTGTTTTTATAGGGGGTAAGTAGGCCGCAACTCGCGACGTATCAAACAGTTGATACATGTCTTTTTCCTTACTTCTTCACATCAGCCGGGATTTCTTTTTAAATACCGGTGTGATTTAAATGAATTTGGTATCAATTAAAAGGTAAAAGTTTAATCTTTAAAATGGTGCCACTTTCTTTGTTACTAACAAATTCGTCAGTACACAAGATCGCGTGGAAACAACTTCATGTAAGTGATTCCATAGTTTTGCTCGCGAGTGTAGTATTTTTATTGTTTTACTAGCGGCCGCCCGCGACTTCGTACGCGTGGATCCCGTTTTACCCTCTTACGGGTTGAATTTTTGAATTTCCCGTTTTAGTGAACGCCCACGTATCTAAAAGGAACCCCCATGCAAAATTTGGGCCTCCTAGCAATTGTAGTTTCTGAGATTTCGTGATGAGTGAGTGATTCAGTGACCTTTCGCTTTTATAGATGTAAATGTACCAATTTCTTTCCTTCTTTCTAACATGTTATTGGTTTTTAAATATATTAAGTAGAAGTAGGACATAATATGTTTTTGACACTAAAGTCCTATACGAAGGACAGAGTGCGAAACAAAACGATAAAAGGGATATCGATAAATAAACATTATAATAAACATTTATGACTATGACTATGGATGTTTTAACGTTACTTAGATTATTTACTAAGCTTTATACGCATTAGCGCTTACATATTTTGCGCGCAACTTGGCTCAGAAAATAAAATAAAATAAAACAAAATAATGATGAATAATAATATGAATATCAAATGACGTGATAATTACCTTTTGTAGGTAAAGAAGCCAAAGCTAAGCAAGAACGACTAACGCAAGAACTGGGACGCCGATCTATTATAGTTTAACTTAGTGTAGTATGTTTGTATATATTTGTCATATTTGTTAGGTTTTGGACCCTATTTGGGGCATTTCAGGGTAAGAAAACCAAGAAATGAGTTGGTAGACATCAGTATACAGCTTGCAAGAGTCATAATTATTATAATATACATTATAGTGTACTCGTACGAGTATGTTTACCCAAAATTAACGCAGGTTTTGAATTAGCTAGAAAACATAGTGTTCGCGCCTAAAAAATACGAACGAACGGAGAGCGGTGAAGGCAGCCAAAGATTGACGATCGGGCGCGCTCGGCAGTGTTCGGTTTTTTCTTGGCGACTTCATTATCTTTCCGGCCAAGCATCGTAAACTTTGGAAATATTGGAAAAATTCTGCAAATCATCAAACGTAAATAATTAACGTACATAGACTAAATATTTACAAATAAAAAATATGTCCCAAATCGCTGTCCAAACAACGCGACATGGTGCCCAGAATTCTGGCTGCATTTCCGCGCTGAATGGTCAAACTGATTCGTTGGACAAGAAATGCGCCAGCTCTTCCATCACCTGTACTGTACAGTCAATCAGCCGCTTGGCTAATTTCCTTAATAAATTTCATTATTTATGATCTTTACTGGAAGGCAGCGCTGCATTAGTTATTAAATCTATTAAGTTTTGTGCAGACAATTACAATGCAGCGTAGAAACTTCTATGTGATAGATACAATAACAAAAGGTTGTTGATTGACAATCACATGAAGGCCTTATTAAGCTTTGAAATACTAGGAAGAGAATCGTTTACAATATTTACAGCTGAACACAGTGACATATTATACGCCACTACGTCAGCACCTTTCTTGAGCACTAGTTGCCTGCTTCAGGTCAAGAAGTTCAAGAAGTAGGTGCAAATATAAAAAATGTAATAGAACATGATTTAAATGGTGCATGGGAAGAATCAACGTCTAGTTTCCTGGCCGGATTAATGGGGATGTTGCCTGGGTCAAAAAGCAAGAGTTTTAATTAGTCCGTCAGTTAACTTATCAAAAAATACTCTACACGTATTTTTCACTTTTTCAAACTAATGAAAATTTAAAGAGATAAAGCGCCCCAAAGTTCATAAGAAGAGGCCCGTGACGTCATCGCTTGCTTAAAAATGCCGCACGTTGTGACGTCGTGCGCAACTTCAACGCACCATAACTATGTAATTATTTGTTAGATTGACAAATAAAAATACATATATGTGTCCAATATTTTTTGATATTAAACATTACGGACTAAAAAAAATTTTTTAGGCAACTAGGAAAAATAAGAGTAGGCGCACACCGTTGATTTTTAGTTGGCCGATAGTTGTGCCCGATTTTAATTTGTATGAAGAATCGGCCAAATCGAATCGGCGTAGTGTGCGCACTCCCATACATGCCCATACTGATCAACTGCCCGACTAAACTATTGGGCGACGAAAAATCAACGGTGTGCGCATACTATAACTAAGCCATCTTCGGGCACACTAGCGCCGCCAAGACAGCTAGAAGTCGGAGTGGTCGCCATGGCCGAAATCGGTCGGATGGATCATCATCACAAACTGAGCTCGCGAACTCTCTTTATAATGTTGTCTATTTTATTTTTACTGTATTAGTATAGATAAAATCAAGGCATTGCAAGGTAAGATAGCCAGGAAAATTTGTAGTACTGGAGATTGCAAGTTAATACTATGAATAAGGAATATTTTTATAAAATAGATTTTAAGTTGGTTGACTTTGATATGTTTGTATAAATAAAATATGTATGATTTAAAAATTATTTGTCATTTTCATTATCTACCCTCCCATTTTTAGAAATAGCATAATTTTATTATGTGAATATTACTTCTAGATTACTATTCTAAAAACGTAATTTATTAAAGATGGAAAAAGTAAAGTAACATGCTCAAAGGAATTTTTCCATAACTTCATGATGCAAATTCCCATGAAAAGTTAACGATTTACGTTGTTTTAAGCAAAGTACATAATTTTGATTGAAAATATTGCTAAACTGGTCGAAGTAATGCTGAACAGGCTATAAAGAACTAATTTAATATTCAGTATTTAGAAGTATTTACAAAATAACTATTATCTTTATGAACAAAGAGCAATCATACTATTTTTTCTGTGCCATACGCCTCTATAAGTACATTCTTATTAACCCAAAAAGGTACACATAAATATTGGTATCCCACCCCATGTATAGGGCCGAGGTATTGATTATTTTGCTAGAAATACATTTATTGCTTTGATTAATAGGTAATTAAAGTTCTATATCTTAAAAGGCACATTAATTACAACAACGAACCTAAAACTGGCCAGTAACAATAAGAAATAACTAGAATATCTACGAAAAGGCCCAACAGTCTGCCTGGTACTTGTATCGAATGATTTAGTGCGCAGAATCAGCTTTATTGATTGCGCCTAAGAAACCAGAATCTTTCCAGATTTCTCAAGGCTATATAAAGAAGGGACGAAGTAGACTCATCCATTTCTTCCGGGGAGAGCTGCCGTGGAAGACCTGCTAGATGGAAACCAAAGAAATACCATGCAATTGAATACGTTCAGTTGTATGGAATTTTTTTGGTTTTCATCTAGAAGATGAGGCGCAGGGCGTTCCTAGCTGTGCGGCAATTCTAGAGGTAAGTCGTTTTTTACGTTTATTTTTTAAAGAGGGAATATGCGTTTTATTATTTCAAGTAGCCCAGAGCCTTTTTGCATTTTTTAAGCTAAATAAGTTAATTAAAATACGTAATATTTTTCAATTTTTAATGTATTTATATTCCCCCTTTAAATTTTTATTACATTGTGATTATGGTATACTGTGATTTTTTTTAATCCAAAATGGCGTCAGCACTTACCTGTTACCTAAATACAAAATAATATTGTTACCAAAATAAAATATTAAAAATATTGCGCATTAAGTTTAAATAATTTTTCCTACAATTGGTTCGGTGGATTTAATTATCATAATAAACATACGGTTTTATAGTGATAAGTGAGTGATTTTACACTTATTTTTATTGTTAATTACTGTTTTGTGATAACAATGTGTAATATTTATGTGTTTGTTGAAATACCTACAATTATTATCTAGGCAGTTATTGTGATGTGAAAGTGGTGAATATTTTTTTATATGTGATTTTTATGTGTTACTTACCTACATGGAATCAATTCTATGGCGATGCACAGTAGTTTGATTTTAAAAATAGGTGGACATACGATCGAAAGTCATAATTTCATCGAAACAAAAATTGTTTTGGATAGCATTTTGAATGCTGATCAACATTTGTCATTATGAATTTTTCGATAAAACGAACCTTTCATGCTTAAAAAAAATATGACAAGAAAATTTGTATGGAGAAAAATCTTTTTTATTTTTTTTCTGGCTACTGTTGCAAACTGTAGCAGTCAAACCTTATGTAGTCGTAAGTACCTATGGTGCCTAACATTACTACATAAATACTTTTTGCGGGCACGCGCGGCCAAGCGAGTAATAGACATGCAAAATTTTAAATATTTTTATTTATTCATTATTGATTTTAATGCACTTAAAGTAATTATTAATAGATAAATATACTTAGTCTAACTTACTACAGTCCCCTATTACCTCATTTCACGCTAAAACCTTTCAAACAAGAACCTAAGTTTGTAGGTACTAGGTAGCCTAAGTCGATTATTGTCATTATAATATTCACTACTGGTCTACTGGTTGTCGTGTAAGATAGATTAGGTAGATATCAACCCTTTACCGAGGTATATACCTACTTCTTGGCACTTATAATACCGACATACATGATTAAAAAAAGTCTTCAAGCAAGAACTATTGACTTCAATGGTTATGAAAGATTTTTTAACTTTCTAGAGTAGTCCTGAATAGATCCTTAAATCATTTTGACTGTCATAATCGATTACAGTAGGTAGTGGGATAGTTTCAATTTTGATAGAACTGTAATTTCCAGTTCTTCTGTTGAATAGTCTTATACTTTCGCAAAAATATTCTTTTTTTTTTTGGCTCCTTTAAAGAGGTGTAAGTTTCTTTCCCTTCGTCTAAAAAGATAACTTACATGACACCTTTATAAGTAGCCTCAAACATAAAGCATACCTTTACCCAATCATCGAACTGAGAAAAATCTGAAATCCGTCATTTATCACCTTCTTCCATTCATGAGTCTTCAATTAATATTATCTTCGTTCGAAAAACAATCAAAAAAAGATATTTTAAGCGTATTCACTTATCTTGATCAGAGTGTTCAAAATAATCAAAGTCACTCACATACTTACTTTTTCCGAAAGAATCCAATAGGCAGGTTTGCAGTACACCAAAATGTTATCACATTATCTGCACCATGTATCAGCCGTTTTCGCGTACGTTAGCTGGCATATAAAACTATAGGTAGAGGTGTACATAATGGATCTGCAATAATGTGTGGCAATACAGCTCGGAAACGTGGCCTATTATCAAAAAATAAAAATACATTATAAAAACAAAAATCTTAAAAATAGTTAACCCGCTGGCAGCGGAGCAGGGCCCAAGCTACCGGTGGTCAGGGTCACAGGCTGAGGAACCTCCGGACAATGCGTGCCGAGCTGAGGATCACCGCCTTTTGAATCTGACCCTTGAGCCAACCATCTAGCGAGAGCTTCTTTAGATGTTGGTCGAAGCTCTTCGCTATTAGCCCGTTTGCCGAGACAACTATCGGGACAATGATCGTCGAGTCAACATCCTACATGGCGGTCACCTCGTGGGCCAAGTCAAGGTATTTGCTTTGTTTTTCCTTCTCGGCCTTCACGAGGTTTTGATTATGATTATTATTATGATTAGGGACCTGTTTATGACCAGGACCTCACGAGTAGTCGCAGTAACTGGATCGCGCTGCGCGAGTTCGCGCACTCCTGGCACACAATCAGGCGAAGTTATGAGAGGAAGTGATGACATTTATCAACGATAGCAGCCCGACGCGAAGTACCGTATTTGTGGTGTCAAGCCCCAGAAGGGGTAGAATTGACTATGAGAAGGGACATGGATCAGATAAATTTGTAGGGAGTCGAGCAAAGCGCCCGGGGAAAGAGCCCTGAGCAAGTACCCGCGCGCTCTCCCGAGATTCGGTTCGTACGCCGTGAGGCAGGAAGAACCATGGGTGGTGGTGGGTTATATGACGAGACTGATAGGGTAATTAATTAATTCGTCGCCGACGCCGCAAAGGGGCGAACCTTCTTTTTTTTTAATAAAATTATACTTCTTCCTTGCCGAAAGACGTCCACTGCTGGACAAAGGCCTCCCCCAAGGATTTCCACAAAGACCGGACTTTGTCCAGCAGTGGACGTCTTTCGGCTGAAACGAACGAACGAACTTCTTCCTTGGTGCCTCATTGATGAAGAGCGACCATATTTGTGTGAGTAGCGTTCCTCTACGGACTGCGGTCATAAGCTGTGTGGACCGCATAAAATCATACAGGAGAGCAAAAAAATTACAAAGTGCCTGAAGAACGGAGCATTTCTATTTACAACTAAATTGTTAACCGTTTGTATGATGTTCACCCCTTCCCTTTGCGGCGTAGGCGACGAATTTATGTGCGAGATACAGTCATGTACAGTCATGGTCTAACAGTACGCGACACCCGAAGTTGCTAAAATAACCTTATTCCAATTACAACAAAGAGGTGTTGCGAACTCATTGGCTACTTTGGGTGTCACGAACTATTTGAAGCTGACTGTACCTTCTAGGTGAGGAATTTTTCAGAACATGAATAAACTTATTTTTAGTTATCACAGTAAATCGAATTTTGCTACAGTTCACAAGTGTCTAACTTAACTGACTAAAAAGACATTCAAAAACCAAAAGAAGTATAAAATAAAATACATACATCAGATTCCACCGAGTATCGGTCTGATTTGGAGACCCCATTGTTTAGCGGCACTTCGGGAATCTCAAGCACTCGCCATCTAGAACAAACAATAACATTGTAACTTTTGACCAAAGCTGACCTATATTTAATTGAATGCTCGACCTTCTGCGACCCTCACGTTTGCACACAAGACAGAATCAGTGGGTTCGAATGTGCCACTTTTAGATAAGTGGCACATTTTGATCGAATCGAAAATCAAATCCTTTGTAACTCCATAATACAAAAAGGTCTTTCGACCATCTTTCGACATTTTTCCACTTGCGACTGGCAACGGCTCGAGTGATTGGGATGGTCTTGTTTTGATTGGGGTCAATACAGTGCCGAAATACGTAATATAAGTAGTCCACCCACAAGCTATAGACCAGCAGTGGACCCTCTTTGGTTGAAATCAATACAGAGCAAAAAGTTAAACGCGCGCTGTACGGAATCACCACCGGTTGCACCATCTTACTTTAACTTTAACAAACGTCAAAATTCTGTCAAACTCCATACAAAAAGCGCCGGTTATCGTTATAGACACCGTTAAAATTAGGTGGCGCAACTCAGCCTTAGTATGGAAACGCGATTAACTTTTTTACTAAGGCCCGATTCGACCAAACTTTTATCCGAGAATAACTTCAGTTTCAGTATGTCAAAACTGACGATTTATTCTGAGATTAATATTTACTCTTGTTTGGTCGAATCCACCCTAAAGAAGTTAATGTTAAAGCCTGTTCCGTGAGCACGTAGAATCCCATCCAATGACCCCAAGCTGCCCATCCTTGTCGCTCGCACGTAATTATGTTGCTGTCGCGCTCGCACACTCACTGCGGGCGCGCGTCGCACTGTCGCGACAGCAATATAATTACGCGCGAGCGATAAGGATGGGTAGCTTGGGGTCATTGGACGGGATTCTACGTGCTCACGGACCAGGCTTTAATCGATGTCAGTACTAACTTGGGCGTGATGATCTCTTTGTAGGTGAGTATCTGCGGTCGCGTGGCCGCGGCTACGCTCTGCGGTATGACGATGTTGTCGATGTCGTACGACGCGCGCCGCGTGCGGCTTTCCGTGCTCGGTCGGCCGCGCCCTCTGAGGATAAACAATACAACTTTAAATACATAATAATAAATTAATGAACGAAATTAGCACTTTAGTTCGTTTACGGATCTCCTCATCTTCTCAAAATGACAACCGGGATGCAAAATGTCCACTTCTCGAAATTACAACTTTGCTAAAAGACAACTTCTTATAATAATATTGTCTATTTCGGATATTTAGATTATTAGGCGCTGGACGCAGGCCGTTACCAAATAGGCAACATGGAAAGCATTGGGGGAGACCTATGTTCAGCAATGGACGTCCTATGACTAAAATGATTATGATGATGAACGAAGTTAAATTATACAACTCTAAGGCCTTCAAGCCACGCGTGAATATGTATCTTTTAGGAAGCTCGTTACACCATAAATAGCATCTGCACTCCCTGGGCGAGATTGTATTTGTTTTTTAGAAGTAAGTAGGGTTTTAAAGAGCACTTTTACACGCCCAACCCTACCACAGCTTCGAGACAATAATATGGGCCAGTGCTGGCAAGAAGCAGCGCAAGAAACTCAGTCACTATTGTCAGTAATAGTAAACAAATTAGATTAAAAATAAAAAAAACTTACCTTTCGCTTGATACAGATGTGTCATCTTCCCTGTCTCTTTCTCGTATCTTCCGGGAAAGCGGCGGTCTTCCTCTTTTCAACCCTGAAAATTAAGATGAGAAATGTTAATTCTTATCCATAATTTATAGTGCAATTGACGCGTTGACTTGATAATGGGGAAAATAAAACGTATTGTTTGTTTGTGGACCGGTTATTCACAGGGTGATTCTTGTGAAGCCTGCTGGTCGCGTTTTCGGCGAAGGCGTGACGCAAAAACCTAACGATTTGTTTTCGGTTACTCATGCGTGGGTGTTTCTTGATACCTACTCGGCGTGTTCTCGGCATGAGCGTGAACGTGGGCGCGAAGCAAAAACCTATCTACAGGGTGGAATTTTGTAATGCCACCTGGAGGGAAAGTACTCTTAATATTGTAGATAGAATTTTTTTCTCAAAGAAAACATTCCTTTATTTTTGAAAAGAAATAGAACTGCGTTCAAAGATTTTCGAAAGTTTTTCGTCCAGAACCACGAGCGCGACACTAGCGCTGACACGTGGACTGACCTAGTGTTTGTGGAGCAGTTACTCACGCGTGGGGTGTTTCTTGTGGAGCCTGCTGGGCGGCTGGGCTGGGGCCTGCGCGCGCGACACTAGCGCTGACGCGTGGACTGACCTAGTGTTTGTGGAGCAGTTACTCACGCGTGGGGTGTTTCTTGTGGNATATAAAAGAAAGTCGTGTTAGTTACTCCACTTATAACTCAAGAACGGCTGAACCGATTTAGCTGAAAATTGTCAGGGAGGTAGTTTAGAGCCAGGAGAAGGACATAGGATACTTTTTGTCCCGTTCGAAATTAAAAAAAAGTCTGCTTATTTATTGCCATTGAGGCGGAACAAAGTTCGCTGGGTCAGCTAGTTTGACATAAAACGTCAGTCACTATAAAACGTGGTACCTTTAACAAAAAAGAATCAGACTTGGAATAACCAACCACGCGGGCGAAGCCGCGGGCGGAAAGCTAGTAATATTATAAATGCGAAAGTAACTTTATCTATTTTTATTAATAAATACAAACATATAGCGGACAAAGCCGTAGGCAAAAGCTGAGTACCTCTATTATGCTATTCTCATGTATAAAAAATATTATCTAGGTAGGTACTGTAAAGTTTATCAAGTGTAAGTAAAAATCCGTTTAGTAGTTTTTACGTGAATGTATGTATCAAACATCCATACTCACAAAGTTCCGCATTTACTTACAACATTAGTAGGTAGAATGCTAAAACTGAATAATTTTAAATCTATACTTATACTTAATTTATAAAGCTGAAGAGTTTGTTTGTTTACTTGAACGCGCTAATCTCAGGAACTATCGGTACGATTTGAAAAATTCATCAGTGTTAGATAGCCCATTTATTGAGGAAGGCCATAGGCTATATACTATCACGCTACGAGTAAGTAATAGGTGCAGAGCAAAAATGAAAAATGTTGCGAAAACGGGTTTTCATGCATATNATCAGCATTCAAAATGCTATCCAAAACAATTTTTGTTTCGGTGAAATTATGACTTTCGATCGTATGTCCACCTTTTTTTAAAATCAAACTACTGTGCGATGGCGACCCTGGCCCTATCGGGAGCAGAAGATTCAAGATTACAGAAATTTTAACATATTTATTTATATTGTATTTATTGAAAACTAAAATAAATATCCACAAGCATTAACCGTTTCATTTTAACCCACCAAATAAAGAGTTATTTATTACCTTGTCTTATTTCCCAATTTTTTATGCATCAGAATAATGTTAAAACAATGCAACACTTGTTGCTTTGTATTTAAACGAGGTTTTTTTTTTCAACTGAAAATTTATTAAATTTTTTGAATGATGAATGACGTGTCCACCGAACTAATTAGAAGACTAAAAAGTTATTAAAAAAATGCATAGATTTTTTCTATTTAAAGTAAAGTAAATACGAAAAAATATTTCTTTGAGGTTTTGACGTTTACACCTCAATTAATTACTTAAAATAAAACAAATAATGCATAAAAACACATTAATTAAGTAGGTAGGTAGAAAAAAATATAATTTTATTGTGTCGTAATGCAAAGCTGATTTTTAAACTAGTATCTCGAATGTGTAAACTAAGTATATGCGATTTAAAAAAATGATAATATGATATTCCAAGTTTCAAAATACGAGTAGGTAGGTACATTAGGTATAGTTAATTATCATAATAATATTAAAAACTGAACACACGCGAAAGTAATTATTTAATAAATGATCTTGTTTTAACATTCAACTTTACGATTATTTTATGTACATAATATGTTATCGGTTTTAATGATAGTAACTACTTATAAGTAGTTTTTAGTGGTAATAATTTTATGCTCACACGATTCGATGCATGTTACAAAAACTACATAAACATTTAAAAATCGTTTTTGTAATAAAAATACCTACATTAATGGATTTTTAAAACGTATTATTGTGAACTTTAAGGTCCATACTGCAGCATCCCCTGTTTCCATGCCCCTGCCTTCATACCCCGCAGACAGGAAAATCCATACTTAAAATTTAGGTTGGAGGGGCGCGGGGTACCTAGATTCTGCGCGGGTCTCCCGGTCCTCATCATTTAGTACGGCACACACCTGTTGCTCAGTGAACACCAAAGTGTCTCAGTTCCCATTTATTACCATCCTAGAGTCTTAAAAACCCATCTGGTGACCTCAATTTAAGTTTTTATACAAATTGAAGCCCTTTTTGTGATAACCTCAACGTCGTATCCAATAAGAGCAGTGATTTTGAGTGTTAAGCTTTAGACGAGTGCTCAGCTAATTTTCCGAAAATTTCATGCAATGAAATTAACAACGAAGTCTTTGTTATCCAACCGTAAAGTAAAACGAGTTGTAATATGTTTCACTTGCCTCGAAATTAAAAGACAAAGGCAAGGTGTTGTTGTGTTTTTAAAAGAGCTAAAAAAGCAAAAAAAAATTGGTGAAAATTTGTGCGCATCCCACGCGCGTCGGAGCCAAAATGGCGTCAGGCGCAAGAAACGCATTCAAGTAGTAGGCGCATATAAAATCCATAAGAGATTTCTGAGTGGCACAATTGCATCGTGCAATGATGTTATTCCTATTATTTTTATAAATGTTAGTACCTGCTTGTGCCAATGAACAATTCAAACACATTTTAATCGATGAAATATTTTGAATATAACAGTAAATTGACATTTAATATAAATGAGCGTGATTGTTTATAAACGGTGCCTTCATATGCCTTCATAGGCAATCATATGCCTTGATTTGATTTGACATCCCTATAACTCTAATTCGTTTGTTTATGTTATTGCTTCACTTCTAAAACATTAATATGTTTTAGTGTTGAGATCGCGAAGTCATGTAAAACAAGATAGTGCATCGTAATGAATCGTTTAAATGTGTGATGCATTTAAAATAAATCTTTTTTGAATCTCTAAATTCTGAATCCCAGCATAACACCATAGCAAAATGGCGACAGACGCTTACCTCAATCTCGCGTATGAAAAATCAATAAATCGAATACACATGCGCAATAAATACTCTTTGCTGATTGGTCCGCCATCACCCCTCCCCGCGTCTCGTTACATGTACGGTACGCATGTCAAAATCTGTCTTTGTTCGACTGTACTATTAGCAGACGTGTTCATTTCTTTAGACTTGGAAATTGGAATCAATTTAAATTATGTTAGCTTTCAAGTGTTCTTAAAATGTGCGTTCTTAACTTGTTGGAGTTTCTGGGGGTATGTAATTTGAATCTCTATAACTAACCTCAATCTTACTAAACATAACCTCCTTCGTTTCCATTTCATCCCTTTGACGTTGGTCTCACCCTCTCCCAATACATAATAATATTCTCAATCGATGTTAAATTCGTTTTGTTGCTAAACGACGTTGCTGAATTCTTGTAAAAACTGTAAAATAAGTAAATTTTAAACAATATGGCTGCCTGTTTTGTCCTAAGCATGGCGTTAAATCGATATTACATATTACAATGTGCACATGCGCAATAAATCACCCCTCCCCCTTGTCTCGTTACATCTACGCATGCCCAGGGTGATTTTGTTTCGGCTGTCAGACTTGCTAATTTTAGCTAATTTGAATTTGAATTATAAATTTTTCGACTTAACCTAATGATGTCTTCGTTAACTTCTTAGATTAAAAGGTTAACTTTAACTTAAAATGTTCACCCCACTAACCTTATACCGGGTCTAATTGATTCCCAATTGAACTACAATTAGCGTAGATTTTACTAAGTTATATAATTAATTTCTAGATTACGTAGTTTATCCTTCGTAAATGATGGCGTCGTAAAGTTTTCATGAAAACATTTCGGCATTTGCACAAAATGGCGGCCGTCGGCCGAGGCGTGACCTGTGCATGTGCATTTGTGCAATACGAATCAACGCACATGCGCAATATTACTGTTTCAATAAAAAATTTACGATTGAAGCTTTTATTTATTTAAAATGTGCGCTCTTAACTTACTGGAGTTCATTGGGGTATGTAATTAATTAATTACTATGCCTTTTATTCATTTAACTCATCAATCTTCTAATATTCTTAAAAATCCTCAGCGACCATTTGCAATTGTCATTAGTCATTATTTCGTCCCAGTCACTGATGTTATTAGATCCTTTCTACCTTTCTTTTCAGGTATCAATCATTGATGTCATTAGACTCGTTTTTTTATCGGCAACTACTTATTCTATTCCAATTTATATTCTTAGGAATTCTTATTGTATTCTTATTAAGCTTTTAGCTTTCAGAAGGGTTGACTTTTACATCTTGTTTCATATTTTTTACAAATATTGATACTATAGCTTATTGACTTTTCACACTGTTTACAAATTATACATATATCTCTACCTAGTTAATTTCACTTTCTTTTGCTTTAAAGTGCAGGATAATTTCGTATTTCTGAGTTTCGCCGAAAGTACCTACTTAGTCTCAACAAAATGGCGTCCCTGCCTGGCGAATGTAGCGAAGTGTAGTATGCGCATTAATCAATAAATGGTTCAGACAACTTAAACGAATAAAAATCAACACTCTAAATCCACTTTTCCGTGAATATGGGAGTTGTGCCCATACATAAACCTATTAGAGTTTCTGGGGGTATGAAATTTTAGTAACCCTTTTTACAATATAAGCCTCGTCTTTTTGCGGTCAAGCATAGAGTCCTGTTCTTCTTCCGAATGTGATTAAATCTGTTCATTTACAGTCCAATGAGATGTTTCCCTTCTTGTTTTGTCAAGACCAATACACAAGTATACCAATTTACAGAGTTTAATGTCTTCTTGCACTAAAAATGATTTTTCTTTATGATTAGAATCTTTAATCAAAAGTGCAAAATCACTGTTCTCAAAATGGCGTATAAAACAGGCCACACAGGAACAGTGTATCAAGTGAAATCAATAAATTCAGAGGGTTGGGTGCCTGTACTTGCGCAGTAAGGGTTTGCGCCACCGACCCCCAGTCCTCCCACCCCGCTGTAGCAATCGGAGGACTCTGCTAGTCGTCCTCCGGCACGCATCCTCATTGGTGGTGGTCACTTTGATAGTGTGAAAAGCAATAAAGTATATCCATCCAATGCCAGGCAGGGTGGTGCCTGAGGGGAAGG